CACAAAATAGGGACTTCAGTATGGATTTTTAGGAAGAAGTTTACAAAAACAGAATGAGCAAAAGAGAAGCAACTGTAGACGAACCACTATTCGTGATCATTAGAGGTCATTCTACTTAAAATAATTCAGGGTGGGGAGGGTGTAGCTCAGTTACTTAAGATGCATGAATGAGGTCCTGGGTTCAATCTTCAGTACCTCCATCTCAAAATAAACAAACAAACCTAATTACCTTCCCCCCTAAATAAATAAATAAAATTGTACAAAAAATAAATGTTCTTTAAAAATTAAAAAATAATATAAAATGAAATAATTCAGCTCTAGGTTTTACATTGGGTATTCTGCTCTGTGGTCATTTCACTCTCATTTATCCTGGGATGATGGCTATTTCTATTCATAGTGTTTAGAAATAAGAGAAGAGAAAGAATCAACCTGAAATTAACAGAGAAACACGGTGTTACAGCAGATATTTCAGTGAGGAGAGAGGGTGCAGCGATGTTGTTCACAGGTGGATTGTTGAAATGTGGCCAGAGTGTGGATTTCAGACTCAGAACAGTCCTGGACGCAGATGCTACCCATTTTCCATACGACTCTAGACAAGCTCCATACCCTGAGCGTCAGTTTTTGGAAGCCTCCCTTGAAGGGTTGTCGTGAGGGATCAGTGACATCAAACACAAAGCACGCACTATACACCCAGTGCATGTGGTCCCAGCCTCGTGAGCTGTACTGTAAACCATCAATAAATGTTAACTTCCATCTTTCTTTTCCTCATCTCCTCTCTCTCCTCAAAATGGTCCTTCCTCAGTAGAAGGAAAATATTCTTTGACATGTAAATCACCAGCATAAAAACTGGTCTGTTGCTTAAAACAAATTTAATATTTAGAGCAATTTATAGCACTCAGTTATTTTACCCTAAAATCAGCAATGGTACCAAGAGGCTGATCCTATCAACAAACTTGTGAAAAAAATGTTTTTTTCAGAAATATCCTCTCCATTGTATCTAGATACTGCCTAGCATCTTCTCTCTTATAATTTGTCACGTTTTTCATCCACTGCACCTCTTTTTTTAAAGCACTAGAAAAAAATGACTGTCACCCAGAGAACAAACAGTTCAGCTATTCTTAAGGAGTTTTTGTTGGTTTTTTCTTTACATTAGTTTAGAAATTCTAATACAAATATTTAAATAGCTTTCTTAGGAATTACCAAAATAACACCTTATCAGCATAGGGAATTTGGAAACTACAAAAAGTTTAAGATGATTAAATAATAATCTCCCACTTGGGGCTGACACTTCTCACGTTTTAATCTATCGTCTTGGTGTTTTTCCCCAAGGTTTTATTTCTAAGCCTCTATGTGCACAGAATACATTTAAGTTCTACACAAGAATCTATGTTCCTTCTAGAAAGGCAGGTGGAGTGTGACTGATCACAAAAATTCTTAATTTACAAATTTGCGATTCATTTCATATGTAATATTAAGAAGCATCATAGTAAGAGATGCTGGGTTTTTTATTTGAGTAAAAATCAGGCTTTTCCCATTTTAACCAGTAACATTTACAGATGCATAAATGATTCTATTGTGTCTATTTTATGTCCTCAGTATTGATGAAAGTGTTTCCGTAAACCTGACTTACAGTGAGGTCACGGGAAGCAGGTGTTGATGGGGATGTATTTATTTGATGCATTTGAAAACTGCCAGGCTGTACATCTACATATTACTCTTTTTAAGTCCCTTGAAATGAATTCAGAACACTTGCCCAGCATCCTGAACAGAAGGCTTCTTTTTCCCTTTTGCAGGTGGTACAAGACTGGAAGTTCGCTGCCCAAGTCCTTGATCGCATCTTCCTGTGGCTTTTCCTGATCGTGTCTGTCACAGGCTCTGTTCTGATCTTCACCCCCGCTTTGAAAATGTGGCTGCAAAGTCACTACTAGGAATCTAAAAGGCACACAGAAAGATATAGTGGCACCTTAGCACTGACATCCGGCTCGCGTGTACAGACAACATCCGAACACACGTGCCTACTGGAGAGTCCCCAGTGTGGACTGTGTCTTGTGTCGTCCTCAGGGATCCTGAACCTGGTGCATCCGCCCAGATCATCGGTAGGTGCCGTGAAAGCGGGTTGGGTTTAAATAAAGCAGACCCTCCTGAGACCCCCTACCTTGGCTTCCACCGACATTCAGGGAGGAGTCATGGGTCCAAGCCTGAGGTCACAGGCCAGGACATGCCAGGACCACTGTGGTGACCCACCAAGAATTCCAGGAGGTTGTGTGGGCAGACCTGGGTCTCCCACATCTACTGGTGTCCTTGGTGGCTTTGCCTGGTGGCAGGCTGACCAAGTGTGCTGTGCTTCCACAGCGATGCGGGTGAGCCATCTGGGGGTGGGGGGTGACCTGGTGCAAGGGCACCTGGCACACACACTTGTCATTATGCGGCTTCCAGGACGACTGGTGACTCAGGTCCCCCCACAGATGGTGATGGGTGAAGTCGATCTGACTTGAACATGGTCCACCCCAAAGGGGTTCCTCATGGCTCATACCTGGCATGATAAAGGTTTTCAGATGGCGAAACTGGAACCTACTGTCAATTGTGACTTGCTTTAAGGTCACAGCAAAATAACTTACAGTAGAAACAACGTCATTTGCTACTGGAAGTGTGGTCATTAATACCCAGTATCTTTTCCTAGAAAATTGAAATGCTGAACGTTCTCTGACAGTGGTTTTTATGTCCCCTCATCTGATCTAATCCATTTTGGCTGTACCCCTTAGGTGTTTACATTCTGTTTTTTCCTCCTCCCCATACCCCCTTCTCCCCTCCACCTTCTGTCCTCCCCTCTTGCCCCCCAACTTCTCCCCTCCCCCACTCCTCCCCTCCCCCACCCCGTCCCTCCCCTCCCCCTCTTCTTCCCCCTCCTCCTCCCCCCTCCTCCCCCTCTTTCTCTTCCTTCTTGTTCTTCTTTTTCTGGGAACATTTAAGTCCTACTCTCTTAGCAAATTTCAGTCACACACTGCAGTGTTATCCACTGTAGTCACCATGTTTGCCACTAGACCCTCTGACATTCATCTTATAACCCAAACATAGCCCCTTTTACCAACCCCATCCCAGTGGCAACCACTTCTATACTCTCTGTTTCTACAAGTTTGACTTTCTCTTTTTTAGATTCAACGTATAAGTGAGATCATGCAGTATTTGTCTTTCTCCGTCTGACTTATTTCACTTAAATGTCCTCCGGGTTCATCACGTTGTCGAAGACGACAGGATTTCCTTCTTTTTTGTGGTTGAATTCTGTTCCATTGCGTATATATCACCTTTTCTTTATCCAGTCATCTGTCGACAGACACTTTGATTGTTCCCATGTCTTAGAGTTTGTAAATAATGCTGCAGTGGACGTGGAGAAACAGATTTCTCTTTGAGAGAATTTTTTCGTTTCCTTTGGCTATATGCCTGGAATTGAAATTGCTGGATCATGTGGTCGTTCTATTTTTCATTTCTTCTGGAACCTCCATGCTGTTTTCCAGAGTGGCTGCACCGATTTGCTTCCCACCAGCAGTGCACAAGGGTTCCCTTTTCGCCACATCCTCACCAGCACTTGTTACCTCTCGTCTTCTTTCTGATAACCACTCTAACAGGCATGAGGTGATACCCGTTGTGGTTTTGATTTGCATCTCCCTGATGCTGAGCACCTTTCCACCCACCTGCTGGCCATCTGATCGTCTTCTTTGGAAACAGCATCTTCCCAGGACCTTTGTCCATTTTTGAATCGGGTCCTTTGGTTCTTTGCCATTCTGTTTTATGAATTCCTTGCATATTATAAATATAAACCTCTTATGGAATATATGGTTTGCAGATATTTTCTCCCAGTCAATAGGCTGCCTTTTCACTTCACTGATGGTTTCCTTTGCTGTGCAGTAGTCTTTTTAGTTTGTGTATTGTACTTTGTTTTTTTGTTTGTTTGTTTGTTTGTTTGTTTGTTTACTGCCTTTGCTTTTGGTGTCAAATCCAAAAAAAAAATCATCACCAAGACATTTTCCATTCTGTGTCCGTGTGTCTCCCTGCCCTTTGGGGGCACGTCAGCCCCCACCGGCCACCACTCCCTCTGAGACCCGTCAGGGAGAGGCCGACAGACATCTGTCTTGCTGCCGCCAGATCCTGGACTGTAGCTTGAAACACTTATTCCCCTTTCCCAGTTCTCAATCTAAATCCTTCTTGGGCTTATTTTGTTTGGGGCATATTTCTTATCCAATTTTTGCAGCTGGAACTTTAAAAAAAACCCAATCTGAGTGTTTAACCTTTTCACATAAATTGTTACCAACCATATGTTTATGCCATTTTGTTTGTTTTCAGTATAACGTTTTCTTGTTTTTTCTCTTTTTACTCTTTTTCAGCCTTGACTGAATTTGTCTGTTCTTTTTTCTCCTCTGGTGATTTGAAAGGTATATATCCTTTTCTATTAATTTGTTAGTAAGCATATTCGGACTTTTTTAATCAGTGTTGAGAATTAATGCCCATCTCACCACTCTCTAAACAAAACAAGGTACTAAATCACCTTCACTTCCTTTTATGTTGTGTCTAAATCATCCAGCATTTAGCGCCAAATCTTTTTTAGTTGTTACTGCTTTTTTTTTTTTTTTTTGGTAAGGGAGTGGGTATTGGAGGTAATGAGTTTATTTATTTAATTATTTTCTAAATGGAGGGACTGGGGATTGAACCCAGGACCTCCTGCGTGCTAAGCATGTGCTCTACCACTTGAGCTATACCGTCCCCCACTAATTTTTTATATTATGTGTCTCTTCAGAACAATGTATTCACAATACATTTTGCCCACGATCACCTTAGAAACAATTAACCATTTGATTCATTTCTTGGTTCCCCAGTTTTTTATCCTAAGTTTCCCTCTCCCCCTGATGCCTTTCATTATTTCAGAGGAATTCCATCTCCAGGTAATTTTTTTAGAAAGGTTTGAGTGTGGTAACCTTTCTAAATCCCTGCACGTCGGAAATCAGAATAGCTTGCAGGGCATGGGATTCTGAGTTAAAAATCATTGTCCCCCAGAACTTTGAAGATATTATTCTCTTGTATCCCATGTTACAGATGGGAAGTATGGTGAGGGATTTTTGTCTTTCTTTTTGGGACAGAGACAATTAGGTTTATTTATTATTTATTTTGTAGTTAGAGGGACTGGGGATTGAACTCAGGACCTTTTGCATGCTAAGCAGACACTCTACCACTGAGCTATAACCTCCACCCCTGATGAGAGATGATTCTTAATCCTTATTGCTACAAGATTCTCATTTTTTCCTTCCTAAAACTCCTAAGCTTTTCTCTTTATCTTTGGACTTGAGAAATGTCACCTGTATGCTGCATATTTCTAAATAGCTAAGTATAGGACTTTCTCTCTCTCTCTCTCCTTTTCTTGACACTTGATGACTAATTATGTTCCATTGAGCTGTGTTTTGATGAGCTATGTGCATTCATTACGGAACATTGGGGCTCCTTGTATGATCCACATATACATGACTTTTCTGCACGTTTTGCTGGATTTTTTTTAAGGGAGGAAACATGGCAAAGTAGACACCAGGGCACTAGGACACAGGTTCTACTCCAGCTGTGTGAGCTGTGGGGCCTTAGGTGAGACACTTGCCCTCTCTGGGTTTTAGTTTCCTGGTCAACAAAAAAAGGTTGTGGCTCATAACCTACTGAAATTCTCTTCTGCCCCAAATTCTACACTTTGGAGATTAAATCCTGGAGCTTTCACAATGTTTAAACCACGTTCCTTTTTTTTAATGTTTGCTTTTCTTTTCTTTTTTTTCATTAAAGTATAATCAGTTACAATGTGTCAATTTCTGGTGTACAGCATCATGTCCCAGTCATGCATAGATATACATATATTCATTTTCATATTTTTTTCCAAACCACACAACTTCTAATTATAACTTTGCTCCTTTGGGACCACATAATCTGCTTTGTCACAGCTTTAGGAGCGGATTTGCAGGAACACATTGTGATGAGAAGCAAGGATTCCCTGCCTTAAATCCGCGATGGGATTGTGGACTCCAAGGGCAAATCACTGCTCTTCCTTTTATTGAGAACATTGTTGACTTAACTCATGTCTTACCTTTATCTAACTCATCAGTTTGCTGGGTAAATGACAGTACTAATCTTGGACAGATGCATTTAGATTTGAATTCAGTTTTCAGTTATAAAAATTGCCACGTGAAACTCTTTCTACAGCAAGCCTCTTACAGACACAAATACAGCAAAGGTCAAGCATTTCTATGTGTGCACAAAGCCTAAGCCCGTAAGCAGCTAGGTTGGGAGCAGCTCACAGTTTGAAATGTAGGAGAGGATAAACATTTATACAGCATGATAATCCTAAAGAAGGAACTGCAAACTCTAACTAAAGCAAAGCAATTTTAATTTCAAATGTATAGCCAGAAAAATCTGTAGACATAATATGCCAGCTAATTCCAACAAGTGGATGTTGGGAGACCCGTACGACTCTCATCATGCGTGTGAACACATGTTGGCATGTGCACACACACAAACACGGACACACAGAGAGCTGTCCACATTGTTCCTGACCTTCAGCCCCCTGCTCACACCTCCTCCTCATGAAGCCGTTGCTGAGCCCCTGAGAGCCTGTGGAGTTTGCAGTTGGTGATACGTAGTTTGGAACTTAATTGTTCTCTACTATTGTATTCTGTGAATTTCATCCCCTTAGCTAGATCGTAACATATCATCTGTTATATCCACAACAGCATCTAATAAAATTGAGTACATGGTAGGGCTTCATTAGTATTTGTTGACTAATTAAAGCAGTACCACGAGGTATGGACTGGGTTACTTGTCTAAAATGAGGACAAGTCGGTACTTTTGTTCAGCCTCTCCCAATGTTTCCAACCCTGTGCAGGTGTGTGTGTAATTTTTAGTATGCATCTTAAAGAAACACCTTTATGCTAAGAATTTTCTCAAATACTATGATCATCCTTAGAAAAAGTAATAATTCCATATTCCAGTTTCCCTAGCTGTTTCAAGAATAGCCTAAATTTACAGCTAGCTTGTCTAAAATAGGATTTGACCTAGACTGTTATGCCTCTTAAATCTATTTTAATTTCTTTCTCGTCATTGACTTGTTGAAAGAACTAGATCATCTTTCCCACCAAAGTGTCTCATTTGGGGGTGTTTGTCAGGTTGCTGGCCTCTGGTGTCATTTAGCTTGTTTCTCTGGGTCCTGTATTTCCTGTAAATGGAAAGTTACAACCATCATCTAGTTGATACTGTTGGCAGAATACATCATAGATGATGGTGTGCAGTTCCCAGTTACCATACAAGGAGACATGCTCTCTGATTGTCTCCTCTTTAGTGTTAAGACTAGTCCCTGAATTAAGGGGATCTGTCCACCAATCCACTGGTTGATTTGGTGGAATAATAGCCTGTGGTCATAACACACAACAAAGACTCTTCCCTGTGATTTTGGCCCCTTTAAAAATGGTCTCTAATCAGCTACATTAGAGTAATATCTTCTGGCTGGGATGGGCCATTTGGTTGTGTCATAATTCTTTCTGGAAAGTACCTACTACTATGTATTAAGGTGAATTTGTTTAATTAACAGCCATGTGACTACCATTTATGTTTAACTTGACATATATTCCTTCTTTGTAGTAAGACTTTCTGTGCGGTATGTCAATAAAATAGTGCAAATCAAAGTAACACTCTTTCTTTGATATATGGACAATCCTAATTTTAAGCAAACTAGCCAAGGGCAGCGATATATCCACTGGTGGCATTTGTCACAACCCCAAGCAGGGCAACCTGGCCCCTTGTACAATTAGATGTGGCCCTGAGATGGTCCCCGCCAGGCCAGACGAATGCAGTATCCCAGGGGAAGTCAGAAGAGTCCAAACTGTGAAGATTATCTGAGGCAACTTTCTAAGCAGCCCTGTGAGGAAGGCACTATGAGCATCCGTGTTTAAAGATGCAGGTCCTCCCCATCTGCAAAATTCTACCCTCAGGGGGAAAAAAGAGTGGGGAGGGAGCCTAACTGTTCCTCCTGAACCAAGTACTCAGTGAGGGTGTGGTGAGTGTGGTGGATGTGGTGTGTGTGGTGTGTGCGTGCGTGTGTACGTACGTGTGTGTCAGGGGTGCTGGAGCGTCTCCGCTGGAGCACGGCTGGCTGGTGCTCAAGGGCTCAGGGGACAGTTCCAAAGTCAGAGGGGGATGGGCTGGGGTGACAGCCCTGTTCCTCTGGCCCTGTCCCCTCACTACACCCAGGAGGCACACCCCAGGACTTGGGGGCAGTTGGGGCTGGGGGACCCCCCCATGTTGACCTCTCTAGGTCCTCATGGGTGCTGGGTGGTTCCCGGAGCCCCCCTCCTCCTGCCCCCATCCCTTACCCCCCACACTTCCATCCCTGTGCCCCATGCAGGACCTCGCCCAGCAAAAGGACTCACGCCCTGCTTTGTTTAGCCAAAAGCTGCCAACTCACAGCCCTGCACACAGGTTTGGTTTGGCTAACGCAAGGACTTTATTTTTCCTTCTCGGTTTAGTTGCCATACTTTAAAACTAGGAGATTTTATATAAACGCTGGGTTATCCATGTAGCCTGAAAAACCAGCAGATCGAGCACCCAGGTCCACATTCCACATCATTTCACAGGAGGACCAGGGACTAGAGCTCAGCAGGGCAAATCAGCCTCTCCGCGAGCAGACTGCTCAACTTGGCTCCCAGAGACTCTGTGTGCTGAGCTCCCCTTACATTTGAGCATCGCTAAAGTCAGAGGTCGGAGGTCAGAGGTCATCTCTGCCCACCTGCTGCCTCAGCCAAGGGAACATGAACAGACCGGTCAGTTAGGGAGCAGAACCCCGAGGATGCTTCCATCTGCCCATGACTCGTGTTCCCCAAAACGTCTGCTACTCCACTCAGCAACGACTCATCTCATTCTGAAGACTCCTATACATCCCACAAAACTCATCTGGAGCCCCTGCCCTGGGTTAGAATAAACTTTGACACTCCTAATGGTCCTGAACCTCCTAAAACAAGACAGCATTTCCTGCCTCCTCTCTCTAAGCTGGCTTACATTTCAAAGCTTTCTTTTCTGATTACTGATGGTGAAAGGTGCTCTCCCCTGGCCTTTGGGGAGGACGCGGGGCCGGGAGGGAAGAAGAGGGGCCACCCCAGTTGATTTACTGTCTTTTTCTTTTTCTTTTTTTTGTAGGGGGGAAGGTAATTAGGTTTATTTATTTTTACTTATTTATTTTTTAATGGAGGGACTGGGGATTGAACCCAGGACCTCGTGCATGCTAGGCATGCACTCTACCATTGAGCTATTTCCCCCTCATTTACTGTCTTTTCCTATTCCCACCTCATGAGAGAAACTAAATTGTACAGGGATCGGGGAAACGGTGGAAGTCAGGAGATGAAGGTTCCAGAGTTGAATTTGTTGGCTACATGATCACAGGCAAGCCACTCTACCTCCTGAGATTGAAAACAAACAAACAAACAAAAGACCTGAGCTAAATAATCTGCGAGTTGCATTCCACCCCTCAAAGTCATTGGTTCCATGGTTCCGATACACAGACACCTCCATGCTGTGATTCCTCTTTCATTCAAATGCTTATTTTCTTTCTTTTTAAGTGCATGTTGCTAGTTTTTTGTTTGTTTGTTTGTTTTTTAACTCATCGGTCCAAGATTCGCCCCATGGCCCCTGAGGATGACTTAGAAACTTCTGGAAAGCTGGGCTGGGAAGGCTGAGTATGTTCACATCTAAAGGAATATGTTAAGAAGTCAGGATCGGGTTTCTTTGCCCCTGGCTGGGAGCACTTTCTTCCCATCTTCCCGCTTTGCAATGCTTAACAGTCTTATTTTCATATGTGATGCAGGGTTAACATCCAGCATATGTAGAATTCCTACAACTCAGCAACAAGAAAACCCCAAATAACCATTTCTTATAAAGGGCAGAGGACTTGCATACACATTTCTCCCAAGAAGATACACAAATGGACAATGAGTACATGAAGATAATGCTCAACATCACTTTAGGGAAATGCAAATCAAAACCACCAAGGTATTACCTTACACCCATTAGGACGGCTACAAAATAACAAGTGGACCATCAGGCCACCCAAGATGGCTGTTCTCTTGTTCTCTGCGCATCCCCTGCTCGACCAGTCCCTGCTTCATCCTCATCCTCCTGACCTTCCCTCGTAATCATAGAGCCTGCTCAGTAAATGCCTACGTACTTGCCCCCGGCCCCAGCTGCCTATCACCACCGATGTCTCTGTCCCTGACTCCAGGTTCTTTCCTCCATCTTGAAGCTGGGTGAGCACAGGGCTTGCTGGCCTGGGGGGTACCTGCCAC